ACCGCCGACTCGATAATTTAACACTGGCGCCATCTCGCGGCATTCTCCCATCTGAACTTCTTTACCACACAGCACACCATCAATAATTTCTCCTAATTATACAAAATAACCTATTAATGGGTATTAATTGGGACCAATTGTTTGTCTATCAGCATTTAAATAATTTTTTGATTATATTCCAATCATTTTTGGCCCATTTTTCGCCTTAAAATGACATCCATGCACATCCATGCTACATCCATGCTACAACATGGATGTACCATGGAACCTCAATCGCCAGGGCATCCGTGCGTGGAACACGCAGACACTTTCGTGCTCATGCGTGTTACACACAGAGCCTGCGCATCACGCGCGAAGTCTGCGTATCAGACACGGACTATTTTGTATCCGTGCGTAGCACAAGCAGATCCTGCGTGTAATGTGCAGAGCTTGCATGTAATACACACAGCCTGCGTGTAATATGAAGGACCTGCGTGAAATACGCAGGCTCTGCGTATTACACGCATAGTGCCTTTAGCCACGGCCATTACATTATCAGCTTTACCGGTGTTCGTTTTGCTGTTGCAGTAGTCTGTCCAAAATTTCTCCAATGTAAAACGTGGAAGATGTAAGTTTTTGACCACCTGGACGGGATCACCCTCTTTCCATAGGAATACCAAATCATCAGTCGTCCAACCATCTGCCATTGATAACCATTAACTCTATTACTTTAATGTTACTATTACTTTAATGTTGAATAATTTATACTATTATGATTAAGGTTTCTCCTGCCATGTAATCGAGATGCCATTTAATCATGGTATACTCACAGCTGGCCATGCGTAATGAACAGATTTGTCGATCCAGAGGATATAATTTCAGATTCATGGGGCACGCCAACGTCAGTGATATTCTGAATTACCGGAAAAAGAGAAATTGGACAGGATTGGTTCATTTGAGTTGATTAGCAACGAAAGGGAAAATCATGTATGCTAATTTAACGACAGTTTCATGACTTTTAAAACCCACCTTATGCTGTATAATACAGAGCCATTTGGAAATATGCGTATGTAAACATTCGGCATTATGATGTTGTGAAAATGTCCCTCTTTCTCATTCGAAAAGAAGAGATCCGGCATCCAAACACGCGTTGATTCAGTCAGTGTTAAATACTTCAAACGTCCTGTGAAATTCCAAATTCTCATTAGGTTACGAAAGTGAGTAAAGCAAAATATGTTGATTCAATTGCCACATATAAAACAATTAAACCTAGGCATTATCATACCTCCGTAATCATTGAATTTGAGCCGCTCGTCAAGCCATTGTTCTCGAAATGTCAGTTGAACCGAATATTCCTGTTGGCATACAATTGTAACTCAAACTTTGTGATTTCAACGAATACTGGAGTTTTAATCAGATTTTCTAATGTTGCTTTATAGCACTATTACCCCCCTTTTGTTTTTGGATCCGTCTTTTGCTTTATACTAATAGATCCAGCCGGATATTCAGCACTTATTCCAAGCAAGAAAAAAATTATTCTTCTCCGTCGCCGTTTTTACTTAACTCGTATAGCATTAAAGGTAAGGAAATTTCAGTCATCGTACATTACTTATTGTTTATCAAGAATTTAATATTCATGTATATACTGAATCCAATTTTTCAGTGAATGTTACTGATTAAATCTTTACGTTGAATAAAATTTCTCTTCACCATCATTTAAAGTTCAAAAAACCAGAATTCAACAAGAGCAATGACATTAAACAAAATGACAACTTTGAAAGCATCTACAGAATAGGGAGCTCTATGCATTACAACTATCATGCGTAAAGCTACATCAACTAACTCTTCATACAATAAAAAAAAAAAACTAACTCTTCACACTAACAAATATAAACGTGCATTTTTGCTCACAGTGCTGATTGTCGGGCGCTGAATAGCGCCTTATTGTTGAGTTCCCTCTCTCTTCTTTCATCATAATCAAATCACCGCAATTTGCGCGAATCACATCGTTGAGATTATCAAAGACAATCAATTATTGCTAGTTCATCATTATAGTGATAATGGTTTATATCCGTTAATGAATCAATCACTACTTCATGAAATTAGATTGATTCTTGAAAATTATCGTTTTCCTTTAGAAAAGTTGCCAATGCACTGATTCAACTTGCAATATTGTAATTTAAATACTTTCTATATAAAAATATACAGGCATTCGAATTGTATGGAATACACTTGTACTCATTCTTAGAATTCATTGTATTCATTCGAATTCTCAGTAGTAATATAAAAAATTTTTGGAATACTTTTTTCTATAGCAACACATGTATGGAAAGATTGGCATTTTACGATTTCAATGCTCCCAAACTTTATACATCTCTTGGTATATAGAAAATTTTGAGAAACATCTCTATAAGTTTTCAAGTTTGAGCGATATACGGTGGATTATTCTTCGTATTCAGATGTGGCCCAGTACTAGTCCTGTGTTCGACATAATGGGACACAGTCCAGTGAATGAAGTCTGGAAATGCATGGTTTTGAAAGCCAGCTTGCGTTGTTGTATATAAATCAGTTTTTTTATTGTAATCAACATATGAGACCAATCAGGGTGCTCACCCTCCAAGAAGGGGTGGAAAAAATTGAAAATTACCCCCAAAAACGGGTTTTTCTAAAATAACTCGAGAAATACTCAAGTTACGATGTAAAAGGTATTGAACAAAGTTGTAGAGCGCGGAATTCTCTACAAAAAAGGTCTTGACAACTTCACCCCTATTCTGCATCGTTCATTTCCCAGAGCCGTTGGAAAATGTAGGGTGAGAAAAATTTAAAAAAAACGTCGAAAAAAAAACTTTTTTCAATTTTTTCGTCTTGCTGAGCGTTCAAAAAGGTTCCAGCTTCAAGTCTAATTTTTTTCACCCCATTGGGAAGCAATTTTCATGTAATTACAACTTAAAATTGAGTATAACTTTTTTGTTAATTGATGAATTTTTTTTTCTTTTCATAATTTTTATTATAATTTTCCCGACAGTTTTTGTAGAAAATATTTTCCTCTATCTCCGACAGGTAGTAAGTTGAACGCGATTTTCTATTTCTACCCCTCCAGGTAGGTTCTGACTGAGAACCCTTGGTGCGAGAGAGAACACAATGAGTATATTATATGTCGACGCCGCTCGCACGCACACCAGCCTCTCTCCGGCTTAATGCGCTTGCGCGTGACGTCACCGTATAGTCAGAGTATCAGAAATGAGCGTGTGACAAATTTTTGTATTTTCCCGAAAAGTTGTGCCAAAAGATCGTATAATGACCTCTCCAAGGGAGAGTGAATCTCCACGTTTCAGGTGATTCTGAATCATCTCTGATCATAACTTTTGGGGACATTTTTTTTTTCATTTTTTCAAGGGGAATTTTCAAATTTTTTCCAAATTTGGGCCAAAAGGTCTGATAATGACCTCTCCAGGGAGAGTGAATCTCCACGTTTTAGGTGATTTTGAATCACCTGAGCATGACTTTTGGGGACATTTTTTTTTCATTTTTCCAAGGGAGATTGTCAAATTTTTTCCGAATTTGAGCCAAAAGGTCGCATAATGACCTCTCCAAGGGAGAGTGAATCTCCACGTTTCAGGTGATTCTGAATCATCTAAGTATAATTTTTGGGGACCATTTTTTTAACTTCCCGACCCGAAGGGAGGAAGTTATTGTAATGACCCCGAAAATGAAATGTTGAATTTCGATGATTTGTCCACGTTTCGTGACCTCTAAAGTCATCCTGAAACGTTTCTGAAGAGATGTATGTGTGTGTGTGTGTGTGTGCATGTGCGTGCGTAGCACCGTATGAGAGTGAAATTTTGTCCAACAATTTCTCCGGAACGAACGAACCGATTCAACTTTTTTTTTTTTTTGATCGATGCGTCTTCATGTAACTTAGAACTGATTAGATTATGGAAATGATTGCCTCAGCAGTTTTCCAGTTATCTGCATAAAACATGAGAAAATGTCGAACAACGTTACTTTTACTGAAATTCGACGATTTCATCTGAAATAACGATGGAATTTGAATCAATTTCGTGTAATCGCTGCGTCATCATGTATCTTGAGTGTAATTGGATTTTGAGCGAAGTCTCCTCAGTAGTTTTTTAGTTATTTCAATAAAACTTTCGAATTTTGGAATTTGAAAAAAAGGAAAAATTGGAGAAAAGGTTGGGGAATCTTGGAGTGAGTCAATTTCGAAGGAGAAAACTTTCCAAGTAGATGAACTTTGGAGTTGAGAAAATTTTGAAGTGGGTTCAACTTTGAAGGGGACAAAAATTTTCAAGTGGATTCAACTTTTAATTGGATAATTGGGAAATTTTGAGTGGGTTGCCTTCAGAATTGAAAAATTTTGAAGTGAGGCCATTCTCATTTTTTTTGTTGCAATTCGTCCTCTGGAACGGTGATTTCGCTTTTCAATGAAAGATTGCAGTATTCATGCAAACGATCCAGTAAGTTCATTCTTGGAATGTTCATGATATTNGGGACAAAAATTTTCAAGTGGATTCAACTTTTAATTGGATAATTGGGAAATTTTGAGTGGGTTGCCTTCAGAATTGAAAAATTTTGAAGTGAGGCCATTCTCATTTTTTTTGTTGCAATTCGTCCTCTGGAACGGTGATTTCGCTTTTCAATGAAAGATTGCAGTATTCATGCAAACGATCCAGTAAGTTCATTCTTGGAATGTTCATGATATTCTTCTTCATTCGTTCCCAATAGCAGGGAAAAATATGAAAATAGATGAATAAATGAAAAAAAATTGTGGTTGCTTAATTATCCAAACATAGAAGTTGAAAAGAGTGATTCGTAATTGTTATTCCACGCAATTTATTCCAATGTTTATAATTTACCACTTTTTCAAGACTTCTTCATTTTCAGCACCGATTCTCCGTTCTTATATGTGTATACATTGTCGAGTTCCAACGTGTAAGACTTCTAAATCAAATAGCCCGCGTCTTCCAAAACTCAGTAGAATTTCTGTAACGCTCACGCATGCGCATTCCCGCAAGACTTGGAGTCCAAGCGTGATATATGGGTATTGCTCTCTCAATTAGCTGTGAGCGTTCGAGCGGTACCGCAACGTTTTCATAGTCATCCAAAGTAGTTACTTTCATTATTCATCAAGATAGTAATCCAAATTTAGTTATTTATTTATTTATTTCTTTTTAAACTCATGGGAGAATAATATTTTTTTGTGTAATCGATGCTTCTCCACATAACTTGGTTCTCATTGGATTTTGAGCAAAATCGCCTCAATGGTTGTTGAGTTTTTTAAATAAAACTTTCGAATTTTGTAATTAAAAAAAAGGGAGTTGGAAAATTTTAGAGTGGGTTAACTTTGAAGTTACAAAATTTTGAAGTGGGTCAACTTTGAAGTTGGAAAATTTTGAAGTTGGTCAACTTTTTTTCTTTTTTAATGGGGATTTTCTAATTTTTTCCAAATTTCCAAATTTCCACCATACAAAATATAACAGATAAACTGCTGTTAATTTCATACAAAATATCCATTTTGAAATTACTGAAGGAGTACAAGAGAAGGGCGGCGTGAGTGCGTGAATGCGAAGAGAGAATTTACTAATTCGATTTTTCATTCTAGATATCAATAATAATCAAGATCGACCAGTTCGAACTCATCATCATCGTCACTTTTGCCTCTTCCTTCTTCGTTTTCTTCTTCCTCTTCATCATCTGAATCATATCTGTAGATATTTTTCCTCCGAACAGGCCGAATTTCTTAATCTGCGTCACTTTCAACATCGGCCTCCTCCTCTGCCGGTTCATCTGAGTTTGTGATAGGTTGATTCAGACAATTATCATCATCAGTGCAGTATTTGCACAGTTTACTGCAATTTAGCCCAGCTATTTTGCAGACACACACAGAAGTGTTGCATTTACTCCTTGCACATTTACAACATACCTCGCGCGCTAGCTAGGCTGCGTGGTTATGATACTGAATTCGACACTAAAGAACTGATGCAAATATTTGTATCTGTTCNAATCTGCGTCACTTTCAACATCGGCCTCCTCCTCTGCCGGTTCATCTGAGTTTGTGATAGGTTGATTCAGACAATTATCATCATCAGTGCAGTATTTGCACAGTTTACTGCAATTTAGCCCAGCTATTTTGCAGACACACACAGAAGTGTTGCATTTACTCCTTGCACATTTACAACATACCTCGCGCGCTAGCTAGGCTGCGTGGTTATGATACTGAATTCGACACTAAAGAACTGATGCAAATATTTGTATCTGTTCTTCAATCCCGAATTCCTGAGTCAAATTCTTGATTGCATCGATTGATCGAACTCACTTGCAACGGCACCAATAAGAA